CCTAGATAAACAGAATTCCCTTCCCCTCCTGCAGATTTTGATCCCCGCCCCTTGAAATGACTCATTCAAGGATGTTAAGTTCCCTCTAACCCGCTTTTCCCCAGCCGCCCCTTCTAATTTATTGCTGTTTTTTAAGAGGCCTCGAGGTTTGACAAACTCCAAACAGTTCTGACCCCACTGTGCCATGATATTGTGTGACCCCGGCAGGGCATGGACTTGCAGTTTACTTTTCGACTTTCCTCAGAAGGCAACAGACCTGAGCAAATAAGTAAACATGATTAAAACCGGTCTGAAAGAATTGAGCATCAAGCCCTCAGAGGAATTCATTTTTATCCAAAGCACAGATCTTCCCTTCAAACAGCGTCCACAGGAAGTGCCAGGTCCGTGGGAAACCCAGATGTCTCCATCTGACCCAGAGCATGGAGGGGTGATGGATACCCGTCTGCCCCAGGGGGAACGGCTGCTGGGACGGGCTTCTGGGCTGGGTGCCTTAGACAGGTGGCGCAGCAGGCAAGGTTTACAAGCAGAGGGAACCAAGCCTTCCTTCAACAGGGACCGAACAGCCAGGGTTAGGTCGCAGTTAACCAGTAGTCTGCTTTGTAGCCATTCTGGAGGGAATTTTCCTCTGGAGTCGTGCGAGCCTCAGCAGAGACATCTCAGATCTTAGCCCCATGGTGTCACAGCTGGTCTGAGTTCATCCATGACCGCTGGTGACAGACAATGCTGGGTCATCATCAACCGCTTGCTTTGAGGAAGACAGGTGCGCAGCCTTGGCTGGACTCGCTCGTTAAACTGAGAGCTGGGTTAGGGAAGTCACCTCTGCACGGCCGCACTGTGCCAGGAGGCACAGTCACCGTGGGGTCTGGGACGGGCAACATGGTGTCCTCCACGTGTGGTGTCAGCAGCAGGTTTGTCAGAACTGCCTTTTGTCAAGTTGAGAACGTTGTATTCTGTTCATGCTTGCCAAAAGTTTTAAAATCAGGACTTTCATATTTTATTTTACTTTTATATGGCCAATTTTATTGATATTTGAATGTTAACCCCAATATTTTTAGAATAATCTCACTTATTTATAATGTATCATCCTTTTAATCTAATTATAATGTACTGTCCTTTTAATCTAATTGTCCTTTTAATTGATTTGCTCAGATTTTGTTGTAATTTTAAAATCTAACTAATCACGAAGAGCATTAATTTGTGGCTTTCTGTTCTTGGATTACCTTTGTCTTAATTTGGTAATCGGGAAGGCTCACCGTCGAATTACTTAGAAATGTTCCCTGCATGTTGATTTTCTTGAATGATTTATCTAGATTTGGTGCTATTTCATCCTTAAATGTTTGGTAGAATTCTTCCGTGTAAAGCCCTTGGGTATTTTTTTGTAGGAATAATTCGAACCACAGGCACAGGATCGGTGATAGAGACGGTACCCCTGCCGTGTTGCTTCTCCAGTGAGGAGGCAGTGTGTGTATTTCAAGGAACTTGTCAGCTTCATCTGCGTTGTTAAGTTTCCTGGGTGGACTCTCACGGCTCCCCTCACCTGTCATTTACATTCCACTCAGTAGTAAATATTCCCGGGCTGTGTGTCCCCGGCCCAGGCTCAGCTGCCGGGTTTGTAATTTGTCCTGCCTCTCATTTGCTGGTCAGCCCGGTGCAGTTTATTGATCTTAACTAAATGGATATTAGCGTCCCTAAATTTTCTGTTGCTTTTCTGTTTTCTTTTTATTGATTTCTATCCTGGACTTTGTCATTTCCTAGCATCTGCTTGTTTTGGTTTGATTTGCTTTCCTGTTTCTAATTTATTAAGATAAAACCAGAGGTGGCTGTCTGAAGTCTTTCTGCCTTCCTGTCTCCTGTTTGATTCTATTGTCCTTATTTACATTCAGTTCTAAGCACTTTCTACTTCTTGATTTTTTTATTGACCCATTGATTATTTGCAAGTCTTTTCTTTTTTCCAAATATTGGGGATTTTTCCTAGATCTCACATTGAGCCAACATTTTATTTTGGTGCAAGAACACACATTGTTTAACTTGGATAACACTTACATTTGTTGAAACTTTTTTAAGATCCAGATGACGGTCTGTCGTGGTAAAGGCCATGTGTGTTGGACAAGAATGCACGTTCTGCTGTTTTTAAACATGAATGCAGCTCAGTGCTTGTATACACGCGTGCCATCCGCTGTTACGCACATCAGTGTATCTCCAGTGCCCCACTGTTAGAAACCACATCAAGCTGAGTGTCCTGGGAGCTGGTTGCCATACTTGCTCTTCGCGGACAGTCAGTGGGTCTCTGTGCGGGTGTTGGAAGCGCAGCTCTGCTCGGAGAGCTCCGCACTCGGCAGATTCCCAGGCAGGTTCTAATGTGTCCGCACGGGGCTCCTTCATGAGCTGTGAGCGTTCTGGGCTTTGGAATTACCCAGGCCTTTCTGTCCCGCTTGGTATGAGTGAGTTGTGACCCCACGGTGGGGAGGGCTGCCGGGACCTTGCTGTCTGCTGCTGACTCTGGGCTGCAAACCCCATGTCATTTCTGGAGAGCGATGCTGTGTCACATTCTCATTGAAGTGACCGATCCTGGTCAAAGTTAATGGGTCTGATCCGACTAGGTAAGTAAGACAGTCACTTCGGGAGGGTCGCTTGTAGCTTTCTCCAGGCCTATTTAATGAATTGGAAAAGCAGTTTACTAAGTGTAATGTTTAAAGCTGGGAACATTTATTTCAGGTGCCCCCTCCCCAACACTTCATGCCTCAAGACTGTAGCTTATTCACCGTGTTAGGTCTGCCATGTTTCTTCTTGAAAATCTGTTTTTATCTCCTGGCGATGCTCTTGTTCTGTTGGGGGGAAAAAAGCTGTCTTACAAAAGCAATTAGCTAAAGCTAGATTTTTAAAGTATACACAAAATGCAAAAGGGAAGGAATTATTGTGGCAGTCACTCACATTGTAGTATAACTAGCCAGCAAAGGGAGGGTGGGCATTTTTCCTTAGAAAGGGAGTTTTTGCTTGGAATTTCTGGAAGAAGGGAGCTAGATGTAAAGGTGATCATTGTGCAGTGAGTTTTCCGAGGAGAATTTTGGAAAGGAAAGAAGATATTGAAATTCTCAGGGGCAGAAGTGGTTTTGGCTCATTTTACAACTCTTCCCAAAGAAGGACAGTAGCCTGTCTCGGGCGACGCTGTTTCTCACAGCAACCTTCTGTGTAGACGCTTGGTGAGTGTGCGGCCGGATATCAGGGGCTTGGCGTGGTGCACCCGGCTCGCAGGGATCGCACTCAGGCCCCGCTGGGGCACTGTGGGTGCCTGTGACTGAGCAGGGGTTTGTGGTGCACACTCCGCACTCCACCTTTGCAGATTTTAGCTCCGTTAGTCTTCCTGGCATCCTCTGCTGCAAAGCCATTGTTACCCATTTGGCAAACACAGAAACTGGATACAGAGGCTCTGCGGACTCCTGCAGGACCCCAAAGCCAGGGCCGGCACTCTTTTCTGTTGGTTTCTTTGATTTTGGCCTTTTGAGACAGAGTCCCATTATATAGTTCCAGCTGGCTTTGAACTCACCATGTATCCTGGGCTGGCCTCACGCTCAGAGATCTTCCTGCCTCAGCCTCCCAAGTGCACCACCACGCCTGGCTAAAGCCAGCACTGTTAGCCTCTGTGGTGTACGGCATTACCTTCATCACAGAGCACCTGGGAGCACGGAGGAAAGCCGCGTGTCCAGAGTCACACAGGCCACACGCAAGTGAGTGCCCGGGCTCCGGCTGCTGATACCTGGCACTAGCAAGCCTCAGCCGTGCGCAGTGCCTTACATCTCCGTGGCGCGGGAGTTCCTGCTGCAGTGGTGTTAGAGGAAGGCTGGGGCCCAGGCACAGCTCTCAGGGTGCTCGGGGTGGCGATGAGGGGGCAGCAATAAAGGGTGAGTGCGTCCTGCATCCAGCGCACCGCATCCTTCACTTCCGCCTCCCGTGACGGCGTCCTGCGGCCTGTCACGCAAGGTCTCCGCTGGAGTGGTACCGGCATCAGAAGGGGTCTGAACTCCACCAGGGCGGCGGCTCTTCCCTGTAGTGAGCACCAGAGTTACCTGGCGGTGCAGTTAAGATGCAGGTGGATTCTGTGGTCTGGGTGGGCTCGGGGCTCTGCCTTTCCAGCGCTCTCCCTCCCTGAGTGATGCTCAGGCCACACTGTCGAGCTCTGAGCAGCCAGGGTGGAGCACTGACTTTGCAAACCACACCGAAGCTGATTGTGAGGTCCGGGGTGCAGGCCAGAGGGAGCGCGTGTCCCTGGTGGAACGGCGTAGGGGATTAGCACGGGCGCCAGGGCTGCTCCTGAGCAAACAGATTCTGAGGATGGAAGGGACGCGGAGGCATAGCTGGCCCAGCTGCCCAAGGGATGCTCTTCCCTGCCAGGTCCCCAGCCCTTGGGTTAAAGAGCTTCCTGCTGAGTGGGTCTGAACAGGAACAGAGCCAGAGCACCATTTCAGTGGTACCCATCAGCAGCAAAAGACCGCAAGAGGCCGCTGCTTCCCACAGGAGTACCGGGGGAAGTCAACTGCTGGAGCGTGTTTTCCAAGGACTGTGAATATTATTCCAGAGACTTCCATGATAAAAACAAATACATTGGGCCAGAGAAACAGCTGGGAGTGCCACTTCCCCCAAGCCTTGGCCTCCCACGCTGAGATCCAGATTCAGTGCTGACCACAGGTGAGAGGGTGAGAGGCTGGGGCAGGTGCATGGCAGTTGGCTGCTCTTGCGGAAATGATGGTCCAGGTCCAGGTGCAGGTGCAGATCCAGGTGCAGGCTCAGGTCCAGGTGCAGGAGCCAGTACAGCTGTGGGTGCAGGTCAGGGCCCTGGAGCGCAGAGGTATTTTCCAGAGTCAGGAATCCTGGCGGGGTCTGCTCTTTGAGCATGCAGCCTGCACCGAAGGACACTCCTGCCCCTGGGCCTGGGTGTGGGGAGTGCCACCCCCAGCTCCTCGTTCCCCAGTGGCTATTTGATGGTGCTCTGCCTTCTGTCGCAGGTCCCTGGGGACAGCGAGAAGCAGTGGAAGCCGGTGCTGGTTGTCCTGACGGAGAAAGACCTCTTGCTGTATGACAGCCTGCCACGGAGGAAGGAAGCCTGGCTCAGCCCCGTGCACTCCTACCCTCTCCTCGCCACCAGGTAGCCTTGGCGTGGGTCTGGGTGGGCTGTGACTGCAGCTCGAGGCCACACTTGCGATTCGATCATGTTAGCACATCCTGTGCTTGCTTTGTGCTGCCTGTCTATCTGCCTAAAGAAAGCCACACATCTCTCAGCCAGGCAGATGGTTCTCGCCGAGGCTCAGGCTCTGTCTGTCTTTCTCCTGGTATCGACAGCGCACCTTCCTGTTCACATGAATCCAGCGTTTTTAAACCTGCAGAACCGCTCACGTATTAACGTGCACAAGGGTCAACGTCACATCCATGAAACCACCGTCCCAGTCAGTGCCATGTTGTACCCTCAAGCATGGCCTCTGAAGCTCTGCTTCTGCCTTATCTGCTTCATTTCCCAGGATGGGGACACGCGAGACCTCCCCTGGGGGGGGGGGGCTTACACCTGTGATACTGTGTTGTCCGCCTGGGGTGCCGTGCGGTGGTGTACAGCAGCGCTGCAGAACAGGCCCTTTGCAGGGCTGGAGCTTGGTACTCCTGGGCCAGCGCTGCCCTCCTTCCCCTCGCCCAGGCCCTGGGAACCGCTGTTCTCCTGCTTCTGTAGTGGGAATGTGACTCTTTCAGATCCCTCAGGTACTGAGACCAAACGCTTGGTCCCTCTGTGCCTGGCTTTTTTCACCAAGCATAATGCCATTTAGCCTCACCCATACCATCACACATGGCAAGATTGCTTTGTTTTTTAAAAGCTGAATAATACTGCACTGTAATAAATACTACACTGTCCTTACTGATGGATATTCAGGCACATCACACTTACTGATTTCAAAATATATTACAAAGTCACAGTAATCAAAAGGGTGAGGTATTGGCATATAAACCTATTGGCCAATGGAATAAAACAGTGTCCAAAAGTAAATCCATTCATTTCTGTGTGGTCAGATGACCTTTAACCACCGTATCAACAAGGCACACAGAGAAAGGACAGTCCCTTCAGTAAAGGTGCCAAGGAAAGGAAGCATCCATGTACAAAACAACTAGTTGTTCTTAACTATGCTCCAAGCCAGGTGTGGTGGTGCATACTTGTAATCCCAGCATTTGGGAGGCTGAGGCAAGAGGATCTCTGTGAGTTCAAGGCCAGCCTGGGCTACATAGTGTATCTGAGGCCAGCTTGAACTGCATAGTGAGACCCTGTCTCAAAATACAAAAACAAGAACAACAACAACAACAAAAAGCATACCTATAACCAACAGCTCAACAACAACAAACAACCACAAACTCCATTAAAAATGGGCAAAAGACTTGAATACGCATTTCCCCAATGAAGACATGCAGATGGCCAGGAGGATCTAAAAAATGCTGAGGGTCAGCAGTCATCAGGGAAATGCAAATCAAAGCCACACTTATCAAAGACCTAAGACAGCAGGTGTGCACATCCTGCTGTGGTGTGGAGGCTGAGGCAGGAGGGTCACAAGATCACATTTCACCTGACAATGTAGCAAGACCCTGTCTCAATAAAAAACATTTTTGGAAGGGTTAGGATATAGCTCAATGGTAAGGTGCTTGCTTTAGTATGCATGGTACCCTGGGCTCAATCTCTAGTACTGAAGGAGAAGAGAAGTTCAAAGATAAGAAGCGTTGGCAAAAATGTGGAGAAAAGGGAACTTTTGTGCATTTTATTGGAGATAACAGGCGATTCCTCCAAAAATTAAATATAAAACTATTGTGTGACTTAACAACCCCGTTGCTGGGTATATATCCAAAGGCATTAAAGTTAGGGTCTCAAAGGGATATCTCTAGCCAAGTATGGCAGCACACATCTGTAATCCCAGTACTGTGGGAGGCTGAGGCAGGAGGATCACAGCTATGAGCTCAGGTTACGCAACTGACTTAGTGACTTACTGTCTCAAATTTTTCTTCAAATGTTAAAAGGGATAGAGATGTAACTCAGTGTGAAGCAGTGCCAAGGCCCTGAGTTCAGTCTGTGGTATTATAGGAAAAACTAGGATCAAATCAGATGGAAGACACAAAAGCACCTAGGAGGTGAAGGTAACTCTTTATTACGCTAGCTGGCTGGGGGAAACTGAGCCCAAAGCACCAGCCCTGCCTGGGGGTTAAACAGACACTGGTATGTGTTTTAAGCAGGAAGTACAAAAGGCTGATAGAAGATTAGTCTATGATTGGCTCCTAGGTTGGGTCATCAGTTGTCAGGCAGACTCGTTCTGGGCCGAAGGGGGTTTCTTACAATCCAGCAGAAGGTCAGGGGCCTGGATGAGCAGGAAGAGGAGATCATTGGCTTTAACTGAGCCGGTCTGTCCTCGAAGCCAGTTAGCACTGCAAGCTGCGCTTTCTGGCTGAGTTACGTCTGTCTTACAGGGCTGGGTTGGGACGCAAGGCCGGCTGAGTCTAATCGGGCTGGGCCTGCCTGTGCCTTCCTCCACACAGTGTCGGGCTTGTGAGTTTTAAACTTTCCTGTGTAGTATAAAGGGGACAGAAATAGAGGACAGACCGAGAGAGGGAGACAGACAGACAGAGAGACGGAGGGAGGGAGGGAGAGATCCACACTCCCTCGTTCCCTTATTTGCTGCAGCCACGTGAACTGTGGTCTAAATTCACCATGTGTGTTGCTTTCTCCGAAGGCCTCTACTTGAGAGCAAACGTCCAGCGGCCCCTGAGTCCTGCCCCAAGCAGCTGCCCAGGCCTGGGTGCGGTCTGTGGCCCGCTCCCCGGGTGTGCGCTGCTGCCGTTCTCCCTGGACTTGGGCGTGTATAATGGAGTTGGTGGCCCTCCCAGCACAGTGCTGATGGTATGGTCTGCACATGCTCCGTGCACTGCTGGGGAGTCTGGTCCCAGAGTTTGGTCTCAGAGAGTCAGTGTTAGACACTTGGCTTTGGGGATCTGTCCCGTGCAGTGGACAGGCAGTCCCTGGTCCTAGAGAGACGGACAGGACATAGACTATGAGAGTGAGGCTCAGGCACAGGAAGGGAACGGGACCTGGGGAAATACAAGGGGTGACCAGGGCTGAAAGGACCACAGCAAACTCCTCATCTCCTCCGCCTCCCGGTCGGGATGCATAAGGGATGGGGCCAGCAGACTTGACCTGAAGGCACCCCTGATGGCTCTCAGTGGTAAAGGGTAGAGGAGGTTTTTCCAAATAGGAGCCAGGCTGGACGGCCCTGCGAGTGCTGCCTAATACAGCAAGGTGGTCAGACCGCAGTAATCAGATTCTAAAGGCCGTAAAATGTTCCCGGGACCTGGGCCACCCCGAGGGGCCGTGCAGATTCAGCCCAACCGCTGTCCCTTCCTGTCCTGGTCGGCTGCCTCTGATACCTCGATTCTGAGACCTTCCCACAAGTAAAAGCAAAGAAAGGCCAGGTCACAGTTGCTGCATTCCAGGTCCTGAGAAGGCAGCTCAGACTCAGGGCTCTTGGAATAATTTTCGGGAACAAGAGTTGGAATAACCTGGGTGAGGAGACTGAGGCAGGAGGATTAGTACAGTTAGACTAGGAGCTAGGGCTGGGGGTTTAGCTCAGCGGTGTGAGTGCTTCTTGGCAAATGTGAGGTCATGAGTTCAAACCCTGGTACCAAGAAAAAAAAAAAGAAAGAAAGAAACCAAGGAGCTGGGTCACGTTCTTCCCTCTGTCCAACCGTCAGGGCCACAGGGCCCTGCTGCTGCCCTGATCTGTAACAGAATCTCTGCAAGTTGAAGGCCAGCCTGAGCTACATAGCCACAAGACCTTGTCTCAAGTTGAGGGGAAAAAGGGAACTCGCAAGGCAGGCGGGCATGAGGTGGGACAGAACTGTGGTCAACCAATAAGATCAACTGTTCGGGTAAGACTGAGCAAGTCAGGGACAAATGGGGAAGCGAGTCACAGAGCAAGGGGGCATTCTTAGGGAGCAGTGACTCTGCAGACAGTTGGGATGGTGACTCCTGGCATCCTCCAGGTGATCCGCACCTGTTTAGAATATCCTCCTCCTGAACCGCCCAGCCTCACAGCTGAGGTGCAGAATGAAGCTCACTTTGGGTGGCGTCAGCCCTGAGCTCCATGATAGAACTGGACCTTGCTGTTGTCTGGACCTCCAGCTGCTGGCAGGGGGCACAGAGGGCGTCCAGAAGCATCCAGTGGCCCCTGCACATTCCCTCCTCCTCCATCCCCCCAGCCAGCAGGGAGCTCGCTCTCAGCTCCTGAGCAGCTGCCTGGAAATGCAGGAGCTGGGAATCCACGGCCTCCTCTTTCTTCCGGCAGAAAGGGGCTTCAGCCTGGCTGAGAGCTACACCGCCCCCCACCCCTTGACCTGCTTCCCACTTGTCTATAAGTGATGCAGCTCAGCGGCGTCTCCAAGGCCCATGGGACAGTGCATGCTGGTGAAATGGGTCCCTATGGGACCTGTGGGTGCGGGCATCGGCTGTCAGGGTTTGTTGGTCTTCGTCAGCTTCTCTGGGGTGCAGCATCTAGGAAACGACTGTGTGTTTGTTGGTTTCTTTCTTTTCTATTTTTGGTCTTTTTGAGACAGGGTCTCGCTATGCAGTTCAAGCTGGCCTTGAGCTCACTTTGTAGCCCAGGCTGCAATGATCCTCCTGCCTCAGCCTCCCAGTGTTTTTTACAATGTTTATTTAGTGGCCCACATTTGCAGTACACGTTGATCACATTCCCCATGGGGAGCTGGCACCAGCTCATCTTAATTATTTTTCAAACTCTCCCCAAGTCCACCCTTTGGCCAGCTTCCCGTTTGAGAAAGATCTATCGCCCTGATTCCTGTTGGCTTTTATTTTGCTGTTTCATTTATTTCTATTTATTTATATCGAGCCTTGTGTGTCTGGTTCACGTCACGTCACATTATGATCCCAAGGTGCGTCTGTTTCCCCAGTGCCGCAGGTCTGTTCTCTTCTCCCGGTGTGTAAATGCTGCTTCTTTCTCATTCACCTGCAGTGTGTCAGTCAGATGGGTCTCTGCGGAGCCAGGGACTTGGGGGCTGTGACATCTCACACCTAGAGGTGCCAGCTGTGGGCTTCTGCGTGGACGCCGGCTCCCT